TGGTGTTTCTAATTTCCGGAGGGCTAATAAGGAAGGATAATTTCTCCAGAATGGCGCTATTATCAATGGAACTATTGATGACCCCATGAAGAAATATTAAATCACTAGTTAGTCTACGTGTATGTAAAGTTTGCATGTTGAGGAAAGTAAGAATATTTGAGTATTCTCCTTTCTGATGTTGATGTCCAAGTTTAAACTCCATACATCTTAAAAACTTTTTTTGGACTTTTTCGAGAGCAGCAGCATCGACATCGTATATTGGATACCAAACGGATGAAGCATATTCTAAATGAGGTCGAACTAAAGAGCAATAGAGGATCTTCAATACAGCAGGAGATAAATCTTTACAGTTTCTCCATAAAAATTCCCACAGTTTGAAAGCTTTGGTTATAACAGTAAGGTAATGATTCTTGAAAGATAATGACGAGTCAAATAATACACCAAGATCTTTAACTTCATTAACATGATCGATAACAGTTTTATCCAGTACATAATCAAAATGTATTATAGTCTTCTTATTACAAAATGTTGATGTAGACAATCGTTGGATTGTGCCATACTCGCCAATATTGTCCAAAGCTTTTGAGACTCACATCAATGTAGAATATTGTAACTCTGTGAAGTCGATAAAGTACATATGTAAATATGTTAACAAAGGTAGCGATATGGCTGTCTTCGCTGTAACCAATGCAAATGATGAAATATCACAGTACCAGATGGGTCGCTATATAAGTAGCAACGAAGCAATTTGGCGTATCTTTTCATTTGAGATCCATGAAAGACACCCTACAGTAGTCCATTTGGCAGTCCATTTAGAAAATGGTCAACGAGTTTATTTTAATGAATCGAACGCGGCAGACAGAGCGGCACGTCCACCGTCGACAACATTAACACGTTTCTTCACAGTCTGTCAAACTGATGATTTTGCTCGCACTTTGCTGTATGCTGACATGCCACGCTATTACACCTGGAATGCATCATCGAAATCGTTTCAGCGTCGAAAACAAGGAACACCAGTTGAAGGACATCCAAATGTATTTTTTTCAGACGCTCTGGGTCGCATCTACACAGTACATCCAAATAACGATGAATGTTATTATTTGCGGTTGTTGTTGGTGAATGTTCGTGGTCCGATATCGTTTAAACAACTGAGAACAGTTAATGGACAGCTGTGTGCGACTTACCGTGAGACATGTGAACTATTGCATTTACTTGAGAACGATTCGCACTGGGATGATACGCTCAAGGATTCCGTAATATCTTCATTGCCGCATCAAATTCGTACATTGTTTGCGATTATCATATCGACATGTTTCCCCTCGAATCCAAAAGATTTGTGGGTTAAGTATAGAGATGACATGTCTGAGGATGTTTTGCATCGTGTGCGCCGTCAAACTTTGAATCCTACACTACAAATGACTACAGAAATTTACAATGAGACATTGATCATGATAAATGATATGTGTTTATTGATGGCAAATAAAGTATTGTCGTGTTTGGGAATGACAGCACCGAATCGTCATATGCACGATGCATTAAACCACGAGTTGCAAAGAGAACAACAGTACGACATTGAAACATTGGCCGAAACAGTTCGTACAAATGTTCCACAATTAAATCAACAACAAAAAATTGCGTACAACACTTTGATAGAAGCTGTGAACAGTGGATCTGGTGGAATTTATTTCCTTGATGCTCCCAGAGGAACCGGAAAAACGTTCTTAATTTCATTGCTTTTGGCGAGGATCAGATCGCGAAATGATGTTGCTCTAGCGTTGGCTTCATCTGGAATAGCTGCGACTCTGCTAGAAGGCGGGCGAACTGCACATTCTGCCTTGAAATTACCATTAAACATGCAAATCACCGAAACACCAATTTGCAACATCGCCAAAAATAGCGCAATGGCCAAGATCCTACAGGTATGCAAATTGATTGTATGGGATGAATGCACAATGGCCCATAAGAGGTCACTGGAGGCACTAGACAGAAAGTTGAAAGATCTTCGTGACAACCAAAATATTTTTGGTGGGGCCATGATTCTGTTGTCAGGTGATTTTCGTCAGACTCTTCCAGTTATTCCCCGATCAACTGTTGCTGATGAACTAAATGCATGCCTAAAATCATCGAATTTGTGGCAGTATGTAAAGACACTCCAATTAACAACTAACATGCGAGTATTTTTGCAACAAGATGAAACTGCGAATGTGTTTGCGAAGCAGCTGTTAGACATTGGAAATAATAAAGTTGCAGTGGACACCTCGACCGGATTCATCCCGTTACCCACAGATTTCTGTCACATCACAGACTCAAAAGAGGAGCTTATTCAGCGTGTTTTCCCAGATATAGCGCAAAAGTTCAATAACCATAATTGGCTGGGTGAACGAGCAATATTGGCGGCGAAAAATAAAGATGTCGAGGATCTCAATGCGACCATTCAGAATTTTCTTCCAGGACAGTTGGTTTCCTTCAAATCAGTCGACACCGTTATGAACCAGGATGACGTAGTCAACTATCCCACGGAGTTTTTAAATTCATTGGAATTGTCTGGATTACCACCTCACAATTTGCAGTTAAAAATAAGGTCAGTTGTCATCATGCATTAATCAACCTCAACTGTGCAATGGAACAAGACTGGTTGTGAAAAAGCTGATAAATAACGTCATTGAGACAACAATCATAAAAGGAAAATACAAAGGAGAGGATGTCTTGATCCCGCGGATACCGATGATTCCAACGGATTTACCATTCGATTTTAAACGGTTACAATTTCCACTACGTCTGGCCTTTGCGATGACCATAAATAAATCGTAAGGACAGTCGTTAGAAGTTTGCGGAATCAACTTGGAGTTTCCCTGTCTCGCGCATGGACAATTATACGTCGCGTGTTCGCGTGTCGGAAAACCGTCTTTGTTTATTTACGCACCACAAAACAAAACAAAAAATATAGTTTATGAGAAAGCTTTAAATTGATTAACAAACTGTATCATAGCAGTGTGTGTCTGTCAGTATCAAATTTAAACCTTATAAATAGCCAGTATCTCAGGAAAACTCTATTTTGTAATTAAGCAACATGATGTGTCGAAAATAATAATAAAACTTCATGCTTCATTTACAATATGCTTTTTTATTAAATACGGATTCGTTTTGTTTGTTTTAAAATTATTTTATACAAAAGTTTAGGTCTTTTATTTATCGATTGAGGCAGTACGAAGTCTGCCGGGTCAGCTAGTAATTATAGTTATTAAGGTATTTAGGACGTTATGAAATAAATAACGCGCGAGGTCGACAGTGTACTTCCGAGGGCGTCCCGCCCGAGGGAAAGTACGTCGGCCGAGGGTGTTATGTTCATAACCCCCGTGGTGCCTTCAACATTTTATGTCATCCTTACCAGCAAAAGTTTATAAACACAAAATTCCAAAAAAAAGCTTATTCCCGTAATTTAACGGAAAAATCGGCCTACCTTGGTCACTAGCAACGGCGTTGTTTACTAAATGAAAAATTGTGACAGGTGCAATATTACAAAATGTGCGACGAAAACTTGCCGGGACGTGTTTTGGCAAGTGCTGCAAAAGCTGTGGAAGGAATAATTCCAGTGAAATCGAAATCTGTTTACGAAAAAGAATATTCCCGTTTCATTCAATGGACAAACGACAATTCAGTAAAGACCGTAAATGAAACCGTTCTGCTTGCTTATTTTCAAGAGCTAACTGCGGATTTTTCTCCGAATTCGTTGTGGACTAAATTTTCTATGTTAAGGAAAGAATTAATGGTTAAAAAAGTGGTGAATAGTGCTAAAAAGTTTTCCCAGTTGGAGGCCTATTTAAAGCAACGCTCAAAAGGCTACCAACCAAAAAAATCAAAGGTACTAACACGGGAACAGGTCTTAACGTTCCTTAAAAACGCTTCAGATGAATCTTTTCTGATGATTAAAATCGCTTTGGTGAAGGGTGTGTTTGGAGCGTGTAGAAGGGATGAGCTTGTAAAAATGAAGCGCAGCGATGTTCGTGATATGGGTGAACACATACTCGTCAATATACCAGCTTCGAAAAATGATAAACCAAGAAGCTTCATGGTCATTGAGGACAACGAAATGGATGCTTTGCGGTTGATTCGCAGCTACATATCTCGTCGACCATTACATGAGACAAATGACAGATTTTTTTTATGCCTACGTGGGGGTCGATGTACTGCACAACCCGTGGGTAAGAATACTATAGGGGCTATACCATCCAAGATCGCCGCATTTTTGGGTTTGCCTGATGCTAAAAGCTATACTGGTCATTGCCTGCGACGAACTGCTGCGACATTACATGCCAATGCTGGAGGAAGCGTATTAAATTTGAAGCAACTAGGAGGTTGGAAAAGTTCCACAGTGGCAGAAGGATACGTGGATGATAGCGAATGTTCCAAACGGAAGAATGCTGGTTTAATTTGTGGCGTAAACAAGTCAGTTGACATCAAAACGTCAAGTCAATTTTCAAGTGTTACAGATTCCAAAGGTGTTAATTTTTCAGGTCACTTTACTAATTGTACTTTTGAAATAAAGCAAAAAGAATAAATTTATATAAAGTACGCCCTAGACCGTTATTTACATTGTAACGCGTATTAAATAAAGGTTGTTATTGAAAAATAATAATAAAGGATGACATAATAGTTATTTATTATACAAGCGGTTAAAGTGAATGTTTAATGAGCGGTCAGTTTAAGGCGAGAGCGGCGTATGCCGCGAGCGCCTTAAGACCCCGAGTTAAACACTCATTTTAACCGCGAGTGTAATACAAACTTTTATTCAATTTTGACAACCTCAAGTCCCAAATTGTGAAAAAATTAGTGATTCAAAGTTCACATTCGAGAAACGTCAGAATTGACAGCGACCAAATAAAAGTTTTATATGCGTAAAAATTAGTGTACAATATCAGGTGTGTGTGTGTAGTATGTGACTCTGGCGACGGTGTTTGTTTGTTTTAAACAAACTAAAATTATCTAAAAATTGCAAAATCATGCAAGATTCCAACGAAATTATGGAAAACTTGCTCCCAGAAAAGAGCAGAGATGTTTATAAGAAAGTGTGTCAAAAGTTCCTTAGATGGAAAGAGCAGCAAGGCATTGGCGAAATTACAGAAATGGTAATTCTGAATTATCTGCAAGATCAATCAAAAAATGCTGCCCCTTCGTCGATGTGGAATTATTGCTCCATGATAAAAGCGTGCCTAATTGCTTTTGAAAATATCGATATTGGTAGGTGAGTAATGTCGAATGAAATTTTGCAGCTCTTGTAATTTTATTGTTGTCGTAGGTTTCCAAAAGTTAAAGCATTACTCAAACAAAAATCACGGGGCTACAGGAGCAAAAAATCAAAAGTTCTAGACCGAGAGGAAGTCCTCCGCTTCGTCATAGAAGCACCCGATGAAGTTTACCTATTAGTTAAGATGATTCTTGTTGTGGGAATAGCTGGAGGTTGTCGAATTGCTGAACTCACTAACATGAAAATCGATGATATTGATGATCGTGGTAGCGTTATGGTGATCACCCTCCCCGACACTAAAACGAATAAACCCCGAATATTTACCATTATTAATGAAACAGTTGTGAAGGCCTTAGATATATTTAAGAAGTATCTGGAATTACGCCCGAAGAATGTGCCGAATAAACGACTTTTTTTAAATTATCAGAAGGGAAGGTGTACGGTGCAGCCAGTTGGAGAAAATAAAATTCGCAAGATGCCGTCCGTTATTGCATCATTTCTGGGTCTTGTGAATCCACAATTATACACTGGTCATTCATTTCGGAGAACATCAGCTTCCCTCCTTGTTAATGGTGGAGCAGACATCCTAGAATTGAAAAAACATGGGGGTTGGAGCTCCACTAGCGTGGCAGAAAATTACATTGTTGATTCTGTGGAGAAAAAGAACCAAACATGTAAGAAAATTTTTGGAAGCAGCAGCTCTACGTCAAACGTCGACATTTCTGACGTACCATAATGTTCGAGTGTGGTTCTAGCGCCTATGAGTAATACAAATATTGTGTCTGCTGATAATCCGGCTGATGGTTTCAGAACCATTGTAAATAATACTACGACTGGCTCAACAATGGCTAAATTTGAGCCTGGAAGCATCCAAAATTGTAATATTTTTTTGTTAGACAACGCTTCAATTAGTGATTTGAGGAATTTAATGCGTTGATTAATTATTAAATTGTTGAATGTAATTGATTGCTTAATAAACATTTGGTGACTTTTAATTTTATTAATTTGATCGTAACCATGGTTTTAAAACAGCAAAATAAAAATTTTATTTCGCTAGCGGTTTAAAAATTTTATGGCGCTATCGGATAAACCAAAACTTTAGTGGCCTACTGACGGCAAAATAAACGTTTGTTTACATGTCAAAATTGAATAAATATAATTTATGGTCAAAAACAGTTACTAGGATAAGTATTTTTCTAATCATGTCAACATGACGAACATTTCCAGAGAAACTGAAAGTGCTGCTCCCTAATGGCGTAAGGAATTTCATCGGTCCAAATGTGGCCTAATCAGGGAGCTTATACTCTTGACCGAGTGAGTTTTCCCATTTGTGACTTTTTTGAAATGACGTGATTTTAGTGAAATTTTTTAAAAGTCTACTCTTGACACAATGATTCAAGTCAGCGATGATAAAACTCACATGGAAACGCGTGACTTTAAACAGTTGATATTTTTTCGATGAGATTTGTCATTTTGGCAGAAATTTGTACGTGTTTGTGTGTTTTTTACATTCTTAAGTATTTTAACGTGTGCTGTTACTATTTTGGTTCGTTTTTTTTTTTTGGTGGTTAAATTTAAAAAAAAATGGATGATTTTATAATGCAAAATATTTTAAACGAAGATGTTGAGGGTTTGGAACCCCCTTCGCGACGTACTGGCAATCCCTTAACTGAATTGCCCGAAAAACAATTTATCAAGTTATTTAGGGTTAATAAGAGACTGTTTAATTATATTGTTAGTTTAGTGGAGCCATATATGCGACCAAAACGAAGATCGACAGATATAGCTGTTAATACACGGGTAAGTCCTATCTCTGTTACAAAACTGTCTTCATTTAAGTATGTTAGGTACTCTATAAAAAGTAAACGTTTAAGAAAAAGGTAGTTTCTAGATCAAATTTTTAGGTTCTTGCAGCCTTGCGTTTTTATGCTGGTGGTAGCTATCAGGCAGATGTTGGATATAATGCTTACATCGGGGTCTCCCAACAAAGTGTAAGCCAAAGTGTCCGAGAAGTTACAGAAGCACTGAACAGACCAGAGATTTTAAATACAGTTATTAAGTTTCCCAGAAATTTCCAAGAGCTTCACACTAAAAGAATTCAGTAAGTAGTACATTTTATTTCCAATTATAGCTAGAAGATTTTCTAATAGATTTTATAACGATTTCGGATTTGCTGGAGTAATAGGATGCATAGACTGTACCCATATAGCCATTGTACCTCCCCCCAAAAACAATCCACTTTTACCAGAAAAAGCTTTTGTTAACAGGAAAGGTTTTCACTCAATAAATTGCCAATTGGTAAGTGGTAAGCAAAACGAATTCCGAGTTGCTCCGTAACTAAAGAAACGCGTTCTTTTATTTCTTTAGATATGTGATTCCAGATTAAAAATTATGAATGTTGTGGCTTCATATCCTGGAAGTACTCATGATTCCTTCATTTGGAGTAATAGTCCTGTTCAGGATATATGTATTACGTGACATTCACCAAACAGGAAATTTGGATTTTTTCTTATTAGGTATTTTCGTCGTACATACATGTGTACATAGTTATGTATATTAAATTGTGTACATGTTTATCAGGAGATTCTGGCTATCCGCTTAGGTCATGGCTGCTAACACCAGTACGACCAGAACCACAAGAAAACACATCTGAGTATCGTTTTAACATACAACATAAGAGAGTCAGAAGTTTGGTAGAACGATGCAATGGGTTATTGAAAGGAAGATTCAGATGTTGTTTAAAAGATCGAGTGTTGCGTTATAGGCCAGAAGTAGCCGGAAAAATCATAAACGCTTGTGTGGTTTTGCACAATTTGTGCATTGAAAATAACATTCCTCCACCTGAAGATTTGGAAGAAATTAATATTCGTGATGGTACTGAAATCGTCTAGATAATAACTCAGAAAATTTTAATATTTATTTTTAGGATTATTTGATGATGTACATGGGCTTCAAGAAGAACAAGCCTAAGCACGCGTTAACCCAGAGTTAGTTGCCGGACGTGGTAACTGGGTACGTGTAATTTGCGTTAGGTTCAGAAATAATTAAATACAGTTTTGAACATTACAATTATTATAATACAATTACAATTATCACAATCTATATTTCAAAAAATTATATATAACCCAACAAAAGTTTTTTTTTTACTTATTTGAAATTTTCTCTAAACTTAAAGCAATGGATTTTAAAATTTGTAATTTTTCTTTATAATATTGTTCCTTAATAAATAGTTTTTTTTTAAGATACTCGTTGTGTTCTACATAAGGGGTTGAGGGCTTTCTTTTTTTAAATCTTCTTGTCTGTGAATTCACTACCGGTACAGGCGATGGCGGTGGCGAGACGTCAGAGCCATTTGGTGAAAATAACCTCTGGGTTAGTGTTTGGTCCTGCTTCACTTTCTGGAACATCCCATGTTGGTTGAGGAATGGGAATGTTGAGCCCAGAAATTACAACTGGTGATAATAGTTCGGAAATAGCTTTCTCCACACCTGTTAGTGCTTGAACGTTGGCAACACCACCTCCAGTCACTCGCATCTCTTTATAATTTGCCGCCGACTTTTGTTTCGTTCGGATGCACATATTTTGCCATGTCTAAAATTAGTTAAAAATCTTATTTTAATCATTTACATTCTTCCCTGTTTAAATTGATCTTACCTTCCTCCATGGTTTCCACTCTTTTTCCGGACCTACGGTGGCGTTTAATTCGTCGGCAACAGTTTTCCACAACTCTTCTGCCTTTTTTTTGTAAAAGTTGCGGAAAACTTCCCAGACGCCAAATCTGGATTACCTTTGACAAAATTCAGCAAGATGTCTTTTTGTATTTCGGTTATTTTCATTAGCGTCGATTATTAAAAGTTTTTGCACCCAAACTTCAAAAAAATTTGTCATTTATCAATTGTTATTCTCTCGATAGTTCGATACATTTTAATTCCCACGGAGTTGCCACATATTTTCGTGAAACACATGACTTTTGTCACCAGTGAGAAAACTCAGCGAAGTCAAGAGTAGGGTCCCAGTTGATGGTATAAGAGATACAAAATTTGCTTGTTCGTTTATTTTTCTATTAACCCACTCACAAAAGTTTTGCCTACGTGGTAAGTCTGTTGGTTTCAATAACGGAAGTTTCTTGTTCTGAAAAGGGTACAGTTGTTTTCTGAGCATCCTACAAATGCTACTCCCCGATACACCGTACATCATAGTCTAGTGATGCGTGCCACTTCCCGGGCGAGCTTCGACCCTCCAAAACAGCCTCTTCAATATTAGCAATTGTATTACTACGTAATCTACCCCAATCCTGAGCTCCAAGTTCAAAAAACATCCGTATTCTCGAAGACGCTGTGCAACGTTCTTAAAAGCGCGCACATCTGGCAGACGATTTGGGAGGTTTCCTGAAAAAATTCTTTGAGCGCAAGCGCCGTTTCCCCAAACCTCATCCCAGACTAAAACGATATCGGTGTATTCAAGATTAAAAAACAAAGCCATTTCAACAGATTTCGTGTATAAATTAGAAATCTGTGCCAAACAAACTTCAAAGAGACGACATACACTTGACGTAAAAATAATTGTCAGTGTCAAAACTGTTGCTAGGATGCCTCCTTTATTGTTGTAGTCTTGTTATTATTGCAGGTGAACATAGACGGTTCGTGAATATATGGGTGGGAAAATTGTAAATTCGACTTGAGTTTTCGAAAAAATACCATATGAAAAAGTTGTTCCGTTTCACAAGTTATTTCTAGGACACCTGCATATATTTGTTTGTGAAATTAGGTTTAATAGATCGATTCTGTAACTTGTTATGTTAATAACATTCTGTTATCACTATGTAAACACAGCTAACATTCTGTTGTTGCTATGTAATAACATATTTAACATAAATTGCAATTCGCTAAGGTTCTTTCTGTTATGTTAATAACATTATGTTATTAAAATACTCTGTAAAATAACAGAGACATTTGAATCAATGTTATTAACATAATGCGGTTATTTTGAGGTTTATTAATTAATAATATCACAAATTTGACTGAGGTGGCAAAAGAAGTAAAATGACAGAAGTGGATGATTTTCTACCCGTCTTCGGTTACTTATTATTAGAAGACGAAATTCAACGGTAGGCCTTTCATATCATAGTATTACTAAAAATATAACAGTACATGTATTATACAGGGTGTCTCAGAAATAAGTACATTAATTTTAATCAGTTATAGAGCTCATTGAACTCAACAACTTTTTTTAGTAGAGTTTTGTCAAGAACTTTTTAATTATCAAGTTAAAAATTGTTAAAGTTATACCCCAATTAAGGTTACCCGCCCATGGATCCTCAGTCACCCATGGACACCAATAATTATTATAATTAATAATTTATGGTCAAAAACAGTTACTAGGATACGTATTTTCCTAATCTTGTCAATGTGACAAACATTTAGAGAGAAATTGCTCCCTAATGGCGTACGGAATTTCATCGGCCCAAATGTGGGTGTTGAACACCTTTCCTCGTGTAACCGAGCTCATCAGTTGAAGGTATAAGAGATACAAAATTTGCTTGTTCGTTTATTTTTCTATTAACCCACTCACAAAAGTCTTGCCTACGTGGTAAGTCTGTTAGTTTCAATAACTGAACTTTCTGGTCCTGAAAGGTGTACATTTGTTCTCTGAGTATCCTCCAAATACTACTCTCCGATACATCACACTAGACAGTGATACGTGCTAGTGCCCGGTCGAACTTCGCCACTCTTCAAAACAGCCTCTTCAATATTAGCAATTCTATTACAACGTAACTCACCCCGATCCTGAGATCCAGGTTTAAAAGATCCGTACTCTCGAAAATGCTGCAACGTTCTTAAAACTGCGCACATTTGGCAGACGACGATTTGGGAGATTTTCTGAAAAAATTCGTTGGGCGCGAGTGCCGTTTCTCCGAGCTTCACCGTACGTTAAAACGATATCGGTGCATTCCAGATTTGAAAACAAAGCCATTTCAACACATTTCGTCTATAAATTAGAAATCTGTGCCAAACAAACTTTAAAGAGACAACGTTTAATAACATTGACATAAAAATAATTGTCAGTGTCAAAACGGTTGCTACGGTACCTTCTTCATTGTTGTAGTGTTGCTATTATTTTTAAGTTATTATTTAAGGTGAACATAGACGGCTCGTGAATATATGGGTGGGAAAATTCGAAATTCGACTTGAGTTTTCGAAAAAATGTTAGATAAAAAAGTTGTTCCGTTTCACGAGTTCTGTTACTGGTTAAAATTAATGTACTTATTTCTGAGACACCCTGTATGTACAGAATGAGAATTCGGCTGAAGGAGCTTCGCGACAATCAAAATTCCTTTGAAAATTTAACAGAGACGGAATTTAGAAAGTCCTTTCATTTTAGCAAAAATATGACCCGTTTCTTACTGAAGAGGTTGCAACTTCATTTGGAAAATCTACGTGCCAGTGGTATTCCGGAATACTTAAATATTTTAGCCACATTGAACTTTTTAGGCCATGGCTCCATACCAACACTGCGTAAGAATGTCTTCTTCTGTTGCCATGAGTCAACCATCGGTTAGCAGGGTCATGACTTAAATTTGTCACCTAATTAGTGAAATTTTAATGCCTGTCTGGATCTACTTAGTTCCCAACGACAGCAGAAGCGATAATATCTACTAAGCAAAAATGTTATGAAAAAACACATTTTCGTCCTGTATTTATGTTTGCCAGTGACAGATTATGAAAATGGTGTCATTACTTCGAAAAATAACATTTTCGGACAAATGACACATCTGTTATTTAGGTACTAACATAACGGTTTACAGAATACGACATTTCTTGTTTTATGTTAACGTCCTGATAACATAGCAATTTTAATAACAGAAATTTAAAATAACATAATGTTAACTGATTGTTACAGAATCGACCTATTAATTTTGATTGTTCAATTGTACCGGTTGAGTTTTGTCAAACAATTCGTGCGTGGAGCCTTAGTGACCATTGTAGCTATTGTATTTTATTTTTTTTATTGTTTTGTTTGTTCGGTCAGTCACTTAATAAAAAAAAATGTTCTTTTAAATATACCTATTACGCTATTCTTTTTGACACAAATGTCTTACGCTAATGGTAAAATGTTATTATATTGTGCATATAATTTCGGAGGCTTTCACGGTCAGAATCATCGTTTTCCGGGTTGGAACCGTGTAAATTGAGTTTTTGGGTTCAACGTTTCGCACACTTTCGTAAGTGCCATCTTCAGGAGCAGGGTTAAGAATAAGGCAAAAGAGCATGGTAACTCAGTATGTCAACCATACCAGAGGCGAAACTCTTTTGAACGGAAGAATTTGGTTACGGCCTATTTATACACGTGGTGGGGGAAAACGTCGTGGTTGAAGCTGATTGGCCGGCTCCAGGCGGAGTGGGGTTCATCGTGCTCGTTCATCTCCCCCACCACGTGTATAAATAGGCCGTAACCAAATTCTTCCCGTCAAATGAGTTTCGCTTCTGGGGGGAGATGAGCACGATGATCCCCACTCCGCCTGGAGCCGACCAATCAGCTTCAACCACGACGGTTTCCCCCACCACGTGCATAAATAGGTCGTAACCAATTTGTTGGTGGGGATAATTAGCAAAATTGTGTTAAACATCTACACGATATTTCTAACATACCTACATACAAAATTTGACAATCGGTCCAGCAATTTCGGAGATTTATTTTATTGCACCAATATTCGCTTTTGTTTGGTTTTTCCTTTTCGTCCTACAACGTGTAACGTTTTGGTCCGTTGCTTAAGTCACTGGTGTGCCCGGTGCGGAAGAGTTAAGTTACACACCCTTAACAGGAAGTGGGATCATAATTCAGAGTGTTTAGATGACTAGCACAGTCAAGGTCGAATATCATAAAATCGTTTGATTTATCTAAACAACCTTGATTTTTATATTCCTATCCTTTTTCTACATACATACATAATTTTTTACCCTCTTTTACCCATGGGTGTCGAGGGCGGAGCCGTACCGAGCCGCTCAGATAGGTATGGCGATTTGGCCACGCATCCACAAAGTGACTGCGGACAGCGTTGCTTCATTCGCAATATCGCTGTGCCGCGCTAGGGGCCATCTGAGCCGTACTGCTCCCTTATTCTTTTTCTAATAATAATTAAGTTCATAAAATTTTAACAATTTAAAAAACTACATGGAAACATTTATTATTTACAGATCTTTTATTTGAGAAAGTTGTTAAACATCAATGTTCCCGTAATGAATAATAAATTTTACCCTGCTTACTAATATACAACTTAAAATACTTTTATTTAATCTGGAAGGTATGGTTAATGTAACTGTATTAATTTATTAGGAAAGTTTTTATGATCGTTGCTATAGAATCTGAAGGTTCTCGCAGTTTCTGAATTTTGAATCTTCCTTTCCAAATATCCACGTGAACATCTGCCTTGCTTTCATACTCGCCTTCATCATACTTCTGCTTCTGTACCATTGTTGCTGGTGACCAAAATTTTCGGAACTTTCTGTTTTCAGCCGTATCTGTGTTAGTATTCCAACTAATAATTCGTCCACGTTATGATTTATCCCTACTGATACTTCAATGAATTTTGCCCTGAATGTACAAGCCAGACACTTTCCATCTGCAACAATTAAGATTTGTTTCAGTTTCAGAGATTGCAATTTAAGTGCAACAATAATTGTAACTAAAATTAATAAATGTGCAATATTTGCGATCATTTATTTTGTTCATACCAACTGTAATATATTAAGTAAGTAGTGCTCGGTGAGTAAATATGTATAAAGGTAATAAAAGAATGTTTTTTTTTTATTATTTCAGACTAATAAATACTTAGTCAACCGAACTGCTTTGAGTTAAAATTTGATATAAGTACCGAAAGTTGAATAGTGGAATCTGTTTATAAGAGATTGGAATTTATTTCACTTCTACCAACGGTACATAATAACGAGCGTTTAAATAAAAACGACGTCAAGTTGGCTTTGGAAATGTGAACGAAACATTAACTAAGCCCTAAATTCACATTTATAAAGCCAACTTGACGTTGTTTTTATTTGAACGCACATTACTAGCAGGGGCTGTAAGATTTTACTAGGTACAAATCAAGTGACTCAAGTGAGTTTGTTATATTATAGCAACTACGCGATCCAACTCAACGCAGCTGTGGACTGGAATTGTTGCATAATAAAAACAATTTTTACTTCATAAACTTTATTTTTGTGTTCACTATTTTACTGCCTGGAAGAAATTTAATCAATATAAAAAGTATTAGTTAAGCACACTTTTTCTTTTCCACATAAAATGAAACAATACCTATATCAGGGGACCGACTTTGGTTTATTCCTTCTTCAGCCATCCACTATAGAAACAAAATTAAATATATTTTGGTGTATTTTAACAAAATTTTAACGAAATTACCGTCACAGGTCCAATCTAACCTCACTTCTCATTTCATATCGAATTTATCTCATACCAATCACATATTAGGGATTCCAGATCGCTAGAAACGACGACCTTTTAAAAGGTGGTGCGAAATTTTTGTCACATTATTTAGGGTTTAGAGAATATGAACCGTACCATTGCCAGTACAGTCCTGCAGAGGTGGCATAGGTTCAGTGCAAAGACCTTTGTAAAGCACATAGCGTCACAAGATACTATGTCACCTACGGTGCACTTCGATCATTCGGAGAAAAAAGGTTTTGCACTGTGAAAAACTGAATCACGAGGACTTGGAAAGTTAATGGGAACTTCACCTGTTGACAATATTCTACCCGTAGTTATAAATTTGGCGGAATCAGATTAAGATTACTCAGAATTCGAGTTTGTAGACAGACGAATTATTTATATTAATATATTTAGACTGACGTTATTGACATTTTATGGAAAATTACTCATTCGCCTTGACACTCTAAGTCGATTTTAAATTGGAAAAATGGTGTCCACAATTACATAACTCAAAAAATAAAGATACTAGATTAGGGGGGTTCAACGAACAAATCGATGGAAAGTAGGTAATCTGTTTAAATCCACATATGTGGCCATTTTTGTAGCTTTACCAAAATAAACGCGAGACACTTGTATAGTACCTTGGATAGATATTGTAGCCGTCCATAGAGTGGAAATTTGCGAATAAAAATAAAATAAAACCGGTTCAAACGGAGCCGGCGGTGGCTTGCATATTCTGACGTCACTCTGGCACACGTTGCACAGAGACGCATTTAATATTAAATGTCATCTTTTCCGTTATGATATTTCTGTTTCATTTCTGAGCTCAATCTCGTCAATAAAAACGAAGCTCTGTTCACTGTACACAAGTTGTGGTATGGTATATTCATCGTTGCGGAGGTAGGTGGAGCGAAAAACCTAGCCATCTTAGCAGCAAACACGGCTATAAACTAGTCCACGTGGACTGTTTGTTTCCTGTCATATTTTAGCTTGCTTGAACCAATTGTGTTGCACCAAACGGTTATTACACTTGTTGAAATACACTTTCAAACTTCCATCTTTCTCTGGATCGTCGGTTTCATAGCTGTGTGACAAATCGTTTGTCGTAGATAGAAAATAGTAAGATTACAGTGACCCTAAGATTTTGTGCAAACGGCCTTAAATACACCCCTGTGTGATGCGACGCGTGCCGTAGTGACAGAACTTGCAAGGCGTCTCGGCTCCGTTTGAGCCGGTTTTATTTTATTTTTATTCGCAAATTTCGACTCTATGGACGGCTACAATATCTATGCAAGCTGCTATACCAGAAACCAACGAGACACACTTGCTTGTACATAACCTCAAACCTCCCTGTAATGAATTACTGGCGTACAGCAGTGGCGGCTCGTCAGATGAGGCAAGTGAGGCGGCGCCTCACAGCATATATCTTAAGAACAGATTGAGTTAATTTGTAATTAAAAAAGAGCTTTCAATGCATTTTTAATTACAAAAATATGTTGAAATTGCAAATCTGTAGATGATTTTTTATTTTTTACGCTTTCTGCTGACATTTTCGGTTGAATACCGTACGATTTATGCCCCTAGTTTTGTAACTGAAGCGGCCAGAACGTCGGTTCACTTGAACCAACGAAGCCCAATCGCAGACACGGATTTCCATTGCTCAGCTCCTATACCCCTATACATGTGTTCGCTCGGAACTGAGGCGATATCTTCGGTGCTTCTCGGCCATTTTCGGCGGACTCATTAAACCATTTTCCCATTTATTTTACAGAACAGAAGGGCTGCGGGGTGCGTGGGTAATTTGCATGAATGTGAATAAAAACCCACCATTGATGTTTTTGTCTCTTTCATAGGTACAGATAAGTGAAAAATGAATCCCGAGTACCATATCGTCATGTTCCTTCTTGAAAGGCCGTTTTCACGGCGAACCGAGCTAGAACGTCGGCAAATTTTGCTAAATATCGAGCAGTCAAAACCGTTCATTCATTTATTAACTTCCATTGATAACCAACAGAATCGTCAGTAAGTCTTTTAAATCAACTTGGTACGAAACTTATAAATGGCTCTGCCGTAATATTTGTACGAGGTCCCGGGATATAACGATTTAAATAATTTCATCTGATGTGCAAAGTTACATGAAAGTTCCAAAGTACACATTAAAAATTTCATGGGCCTAAAACGTTTAGAAAGGAACACAACAACTATTCCCGAACCCCTCCAAGAAAGTGCTAGTTTAAAAAAAAATGACTTGTGAAAACATTGTTGATTAAATGTGTTATGGGTGTTGTTATTAATATTATTTTTATTATGACCTACCAGTGACCTGGAAATGACCGGTATTCGGACAAGACTTCTATCATTACTAACTATTAAGACCAAGTAATATGCATTAATCACATTAATTTGATTATTAATATTATTATTAATGATATTGTTGTTAAACTTCTATCATCGCCTCACCACATCAGACAGTCACGAGCCGCCACTGGCGTACAGACTTGTCCATCGTAAATAAATCGGTTGTGAATCGTGGAAATTTTACGATCCAAAGTTTATAAATCGACTGCAATCGGATCGTGTTTGTTGAACATGAAAACGTCATAAATCGGAACACGATTGTAGATCGATTGCTCACGTTGAACGCCCATATTTAGTTGTTTCTAGCGATTTGAAATGGATAATACTACACATCAAAGATAATTTACACTATTACTACATCTAAACTAAACAATCTTACCGTCAGCTATTCCTAAATATTATAAAAACATAAAAACTACAAACTAAAAGAATCTACCACGTGGTGATTTTTTAACATCCCCTCTAATTCAACCTAGTAACTTTTATTACACACCATAAAACCCTAAACTAAAATGATCGGGCTTTCAAATTTAAAAATGTTAGCCCCAAAAAAATCCTTAAGTACTTCCCAAGTAGCCGTTAAAAACTGTCTGGAATATTGGAGTAAATTTAACTTCTACTTGTTCGTTTACACACTTTACTTTTTCGTCTTTCTTCGCTTTACTTATCTCTAACTCTTCTAATAACCATATAGTAGTTTTGTATTTGCTCTGTCTAATTGATGCTCTTCTGTCCATAAGTGGGTTCCCATTGCTGATGCTCTGACTAGGTCCAAATGTTCCTTCACCCTCTTTTTTAAACTTCTGCCCGTCTGGCCCACATATTTAGTGTTGTAGTTCTTACATTTTAGTCTATAATACTCCACTTGATTCATCTATTTTATCTTTATCTTTATACTTAAACAGGATGTCCTTTAATTTCTCATCACTTCTCCGTACGATCTCCATGCGATTTCTTTTCAAAAGTCTTTTAATTTTCTCTGACACATTGCCAATATAAATGATGCTGGGTCTAAATTTCATCTCTTTATGATTTTCCTCCTGACTTTCTATATTATCTTTCACATTGCTTAGTATCTCTGTAACTCTTCGTTCCCTTATCTTTATCCAATTTAAAATTATTTCTTCCTTAAAATTGTTGTTTACTCCAATCTGTTTTATGTTAAATTCATTCTCCTTCTCTTGCTCGTTCATCTGGTTGTAATCTTAATGCTCTATCTATTATCGCAATAAATGCTGCTTTTTTATGGGTAATTGGTAAGAAGATTGATTTATAACTACATCTGTATTCGTGGGTTTTCTGTAAATTTTGAATTTTAAGTCCGCTTGATGTTTCTCAATAGACAAATCAAGAAAATCCAAAGTTTTATTTTCTTCTTTTTCAACCTTAAACTTAACGTTTTCATCTACGTTGTTCATCATCTCTAAGAGCTTTTCTAATTCCGTTTCATTTCCTTCCCACAGACATGTAATATCTACCATTCTATACCAGAGTCCCACTTTTTCTGTGATCTTATTCTCTCCATTTAAGATCTTATTCTCTATGCTGTCCATAAAGTAATCTGCTAATATGGGTGATAAACCGGATCCCATACTCAGACCGTTCGCTGTAAAGACTTTGTCTCTGAATGTAAAGAAAACCTAATTAGTGGATACTTTTAGTAGCTCTATTACGTCTTCTATTTCTGGTTCTTCAATATGTGCTTTTTTAATCAAGTCTAACTAATTCATTTGCTTTTCCTCTAGGGACAGACGTCCCTAACAACAAACTATTGGATATGCTATGTTTTGGTTTATCTATTCTGTTTAGACCTTTACTGAT